TAAATAGTGCTAGACTGAAAAATAAATTTATACAATTATTATCTAGGTAAATATTTTTTAAAATAGTATTATTTGAGTAAAAAAAACTTTATGAAAATAACTTTCAAAGTTTAAGGTAAACAAAGAAAAATCATTGTATCAACGTACAAAGTTAATTTGATTAGACTAACTCATAATGAGGTACCTTAATCAATTTTAGATTTTAAATTATTTGGGCTCAATCCAAAATTCAATTAGTCTAACATGGGTTTGTCAGTCAAAATAAATAAATAAATTTGAAATGGGTTTTCTTTTTTCTCCATTTTTATTATTATTCAAAATTCAAATTTAAAATTCTTTTTGATCTCTTCGTCACCAGACCGGTCCCCGTGATTCCTGTTTTGTCCATTATGAACTATTGCTAACTTCTTATAATATGAAAACTGGGAAAAAAAAAATCAAATATCGTTTTCTATAAGTTTAATTCATTACTATTTGATATATACAAAAGAATAGTTTCCTATTAGTTTAAGGTATATTATTACTAGTTTAAGAATTATTATTATTATTCACTTAAATATATTTTTAATTTTCTTTATCTTTATCATATTTTGCTTATTTTCTATTGATTGTTTTTACACAAAGTATCTGATATAAAAAAATTGAAATTAAATAATATAAAAATATTTTATTACTACTCGACCTATCTTTTATAATTCATGTCATACTCAACTTATACTTTAAGATATTTACTATTTAAAACAAAAGGTAAATTATAATTATTCAATTATATGTGCAAAAAATGTAGAAAGATAACAAATGTTGTAATTTATCATTTTTCTATTAACAATGCATTATGATATATTAGTAATTTTTTTTTAAATGATGCAATATGGATAGCAAATGATGGTACAGCAACGTTGAAGAGGATTATCGAATTTTAAAGCAAAGAAATTTATAAGTGCCTATAAAAGAGGATAAGAACTTTGAACCTCATTAGAAGGAAAACGCAAAACTTATACGTAAAATAGTTAAAACACTTTGTGAGAAAATTTGGGAGGATTGTATACTCTCTTTTTTTTTTTTTGTTGGAAGATCTTATATTTCTTATGTGATATGATAAGGTATTATGTTATTTCATAACGAGTTTCTAAGTTTTGCTTTATTGTATTGAGCTCGCATATTTTTTATCTCTGACTTATGAATGTGTTACTTATTACACAATTATATTCGATGCGTTAATTTAAGTAAAAAAAAATTGACTGCACAAAGAGAGAAGATGTTTTTTATTCTATCATCGAAGTATGACTACTATATAATATTGTTAACTTTTGTAGTAATTACTTTGAAAATCATGAGATAATTTTTAATTAGTTGAATATAAAAAATTTAATGAAAATATACTAAACTTAAACTCTTAATTCTAGAGTATGTCAATGTTATCATTATTGTAATATATAATATGCAAAAAAAAAAAAGTGATTTTTTTTAAATTTTATTTTGGAAAGCAATAAAAGTAAGTTTCTAACAAACATGGGTTCATGAGTCGAATTGCTTGGCCCAACCCATAAAAGATTAGCCTAAGCTAAAAAAGTAATAATTTTCACTTAAACTGACTATGGTGGTCCGTCATAGACCATTCAAGTAGGTCAACTCAGCCTAAATTTACATGTTTATATGAACTAATTAATACGTGCTAACTTGTTAAAAAAAAAAAACAGCAACAACAACCAGTGTTTGTGTTTATTAGATGGAAAATAAGGATTAAAAGAATAAGCTAAATTATATATTTTTTATTCTTTATCTCATTTTATTGATTTATTTTAGTTATTTATTTGTTAAAACATTCATTTGATCCTTTATTTTTATTTTTTATATTTGAACCAATTTGGTTCTTTTAAAATAATAATAATTTTTAATTTTGTAACACAATTTTGAATCAATTTTTGACATATTTGAGTTGTGAAACTTGTAACAATAGATTTAACTATATAAAAATTATAAAATTCTATTGACGTTTAATTTATAAAAGTTATAAATGTAATGAAAATCATGTTAAAAATATATCTCATAAGCAATTAAAAATAGTGTAAGATTATAATTTTTGAATTTTCAATTGTCCTTTAAACTTATTTTTATACAATTTTTACCATATTTATAATATTTTTTTATTTAAACTGTAGTTATGGTCAACAATTTTCATATAAGTAAATCTAAGAAAACGAATTTCAAGTTTTGAATTAGTCAAAAGATATTTTAAAATTATGTCTCAAAATTAAAAATAAACATTATTTCAAAAGGACATAATTGATCCAAATTAAAGAGATAAATGATCAAAATAAATATTTAAAAAAATAAAAGATCAAAATGAATCTAATGAATAAGATAAAAGTATAATTTGGTAAAAAACAAAAAATTAAGTAAACTTCAAACATTCCTACCTTTTAGTGCTATTTATTTCGGTCAATGTTTTCTTATTGAATACTTTATTGTAAATGATAACGATAGTTTATACTAATTTAATTTCCGTGTCACTAACTTTTTAATCCGTAAGAAAAATTACGAGAACTGTGAGGATCAATCGTGTCAAACTAAAATTTCCATGTATCTATTTCAACATTTCCTTTTCCTTCTCCCCTCAATTGAGTCTTGAATCACTATGCTAATATTATAAAATATATCCATCCAAATTTTATATATCAATTTTGAAAGTACACAAAGAACTCCTTAAATGTCACATATCACTATAAAAAAATTAACACCAAAAGGTTAATATTTTTTCTTTGCTCTAGCAATGGATTGACCACTTTTTATTTTGGGCCTCCGTCACAGGATGATTATGTTTTCTTTTAGTATGATTTGTTTGGTAACCGAGAACATCTCTAATAATATAACCCATTTTAAATTTTTAATACGCTTTGACTTTCTCAATATCATAAGATTTAAAAAAATATCTTAATTTAAGTTCTTAATTCGCTTTTTATAAGTCGAACAATAACACCAGAATGTTTTATTTAAAATTATTTAGTTAAAAATTAAAATATATTGTATTAATAATCTATCGACGAAGGTTTTTACATAAGAACAAATCTGATGGAGAACTCTAGGGGTGAAACAGATCAAAAGCACAAAGCTAGTGTTTTCAACTTCTTCCTAATACACATTACGAACAATTTTTTTTGTCAAAAACACTAGGAGAATAAAATAAAGTTCTCCAAATTTTAAAATTAACTTATTTAAACTAATTTGTTAAAACTCTGTAGTATTAACTTCTACAAAAAGTATTTTATAACTTATGTACAAGTTAACTCTAATTCATAAAGAAACTTATATTACTTTTTCTTTTAATTTTCTTTTCTTAAAAGTTAAAAGTACTTATGAAGTGTAAAAGTTTCTTATTGGTCTCCAATTAGATCTTACCAGTAAAACTTGCATTAAATAATAAAATTCACTCTGACAAAATCCTACAATGAAGACATAAAATAAAATTGTTCATAACAATGGCTTTTATTTTTAATTGGGCATTATATAGCTTCGTTAAGCAATTCTCAATGTGAAAAAATAAAAAGCTATTTAAGCTCGTTAACCCTTCGACTGCCGACAAAATAGCATAAAGAGACTACATACTTCATTTGATTGCCAAATTGTTAGAATTGCAGTATGAAGTTCTAATTTGTATGTGAATATATTTTATTGAGGACTTCTATAAACCTTGTAACAACTATTGTTCTATTAATAGTTTAGTATGTTAATTTCAAGAGAGTTAACTGCATTCAGATATGTCATTTCCGATTTATTTTTATTCTTAGAGCCCAAATTATCAAAAATAAATATTGGATTTTATAGTATGACACCAGGTAAATGGTCACAGTTCCAGACTTCCGGTGTGTGCACACTCTACTTGTTTGAAACACAGATAATCAGATTGGAAGCATTTGAATTCGTTTACTTTCCAAACGATGACAACAGGAATTCTTATTCAATTCCATTATTCCATTCTGCTCTTTTCCATTTCATCTCTTTCTTTTAATCCAAACATAACCTACGTTTATTGGGAGAGACACACGATTTGAACAAAATCTGTACTAGTTACTAAGCTATAGGAACATTCACACAAATTATTCTGACTTATAATACAACAAACTGTTTATCCCAACCACACGAGTTTACTTAGGTGAAATGATGAGTTTAACCCCCCCCATAACTTAAGGTTTGTGGATAAGAATACCATTTTACTTCCAAAACCCAATAAAGAATTGCTTAGTTAAGGAGATGCGTGGACATGAAAGCTTTCGGATGATATCTACATCCATAACATGCCTATTCCATCGAACGTCAATGTCTAAACTTAATACTTTGGCATACACAAAATACATTGTCAAACGAAAATTTCCAATAAAGAATTAGTTTATTGTCCTCAAAAAGTTGTTTCATTCGAGTGGATATCCTTATCTTCCACTTCCAGTCATACAGATTTTACTCGGAAACAAAATTTTAACCCTGAAGAAATTGAAACTAAATGTGAAAGCATTGTTGACCTCACAACGCTTAGATTCTTCCTCGCATAGCAACAACCTAAAAAACAGGCCCCAACTATTCCTTAATACCTAAGAATTTAAGCAGTTTTATGTTGATCATACTCACAAGAGTAATCAAATCATCATTATTTAGGATTCAAAACCAACGCAAACGAGCAAAGGTTCCTGCTTTTACCACAATGCTCAGATGCAGACTTAGATTATTGTAACCTAAAAAAGGACATCAATTACACCTTACTAGTCACTAGTTCTTCCAAAAATGGAATGAATCCAATGCACAAAGAAAGCACAGACATCATCATGAAAACAAAATACTAAACACTCCTCTGCTCTGCAAATAACTTGCAAGATAGACAAGTACAAAATTTTATCAATCAATTACACTTTTCATATAAAACAATCAGGGGGCAGTAAAACAAATACATTTAATCAATTAAATGCATCATCATCCTTATTTCTTTGCTGTATTTGCACATTTCACCGTGAAAATTATAACTCATGGGTCACGCCACTTTTTATTTCTCTTTGCTTTCATACACTCACTTTTTTTTATTTTTTTTATTTCTCATCTATCTTGCCTATTTCTCATACATTTCTCAAGTGCCAAACAAATTGAATATGATGTAGAAATAAAAGTATCCCGTTCACTAGACCAAAATTTGTAACAAAGAGGCAATAATTAATTATAAATAAAATTAATCGCCTAATATACCGTTCACACCCTAAAGTCTTATAGCTGAACAAATTACAAAACACTGTCAATTACACAAGTCAAACCTCATTTGTCAAGCTCCATTGCCTGGGCAGCTTTAGCTTTAGCAAGAGCAGTCAACTTGGTCTTCACTTTCTTCCCCACTTGAAATCCACGTTTCTCTTTCTTGTTACTACCATCAACCTAGATACATTTGCCCAATAAAAACAAAATCATACAAAAGACAATTAATCCTTAAGACACATAGAAAAACACACTTCAATCTTTCATACAGCATATACACTCTGTTTATCACAGTTCAGCTTTCAACTAATTTGGAAGAATAGAAACTAAATTTGACCCAGTGTCACAGCATTCAGCAATTAAAACTTTCACATGAAAAGTTAACAACTTTTTACATAACCCAATTAAATCAGAAACAAACATCGACACCTAAAATCACATATCCCCATTTAAAAAAAATAAAATAAAAACCTCAGCAGAAAAAGAAAATTGGGAAATTAAGATGCAAACACTGACCTTCATCTTGTTTTTCTTCGCTTGGAGCTTCTTCTCTTTTTTTTGCTTCTCTTGTTCCTCTCCTGAAAGAAAATAATCATAACCACGAAATCAGAACATGAATATCGAAGCTTGAGTTTGAGTTAGGGCGAAATCGAAAAAGAGATATTACTTCGAAGATCGAATTCGTACTGCTTCTTTCTCTTGGCAAGGTTGTTCTTCTTCGACATTTTCCCTCTGCTGCTCAATCAATCTACTAAGGAATATGGTTTATGGTTATGATGAGAGTGATAAGCCCTAACCCTAAAAATTTCAGTTTTTAATGTTTACGATGTGTTTCTCCGTTTCTTTCTTATTTTTTTTCAACAATAAAAATATGATTACTAAGAATGGTTTTTTTAAAAAAAATATTTCAAATGGATAAAAAAAAATTATATTTTCAGTTCTAAAAAAAATTAGAAAATAAATTATTTTGATTTGATTTTAATTTTAATTTTTTTTATTATATGTTATTTCTTATGTCTATTCTTAAAAAATAATTGTACACGATAATTTTAAAAAATAAAGAATAAAATATTCAAATGCACTTTTATCATTTATATGTTAATCTCCTATAAATTTGATTTTTTTTCCGATATCTTTTAAATTTGATAACATCATTGATAAATTCACCTTATATATTAAATTAGAATAAATATCTCATATTGCTTTTAAATTTCACTTTTTTAATTATAGTATTTGTGAGGCCCGCTTGTATTTTTTTTTCCTTTCCCCTATACTCATTTCTCATTTTTCATTCTCTCATTCACTCATACACCCTCAAACTCCTCCTACTAAGTTTTGATGATTACAAAGGATATGATGATAACAAAGGATACAAGCCAAGAACAAAGGGCAAGCTAGTCATGAAAGGAAGATATGAAAGAATATAAACTGTAATAGGGATAGCTTATGTGTTTTTATGTTTTGTGTTGCCTTGTTGAAGTTATTTTGCATGTGTATGCTTTGTTCTAGAGTAAATCTTAATCTCAATTGACTAAGAGAGAGTATGATGATGATCTAAATGACTTGGAAAGATGTAGAAAGTTTTCTAAAAGTGTGAAATTGAGTTTTTGAAAACATACTCAAAATAATCGATTATCATTATGAATAATCTATTATTCCAACAAGAGGTTCAGGAAACCTTGCTGTAATAATCGATTATCTAAGAAATAATTGATTATCCTGCAACATAATCAATTATTCTGTTCTTGAGTGGTTTCCAGAAATTATGAAGAACAAAATAATCGATTATCCTTAGAAATAATCGATTATTTGGGTCTGGAAAACTTTATAAATAGTTTTCACACTTTGAAACTTTACAAGTGAGATAAACTGAATATAGAAGAGAGAAAAATTAATTTTGTGAAGTCCTTGTGACCTTCTTGGGGTGTTTTCTTTGTGAAACCAAGAAGAGAAATATCTTGTGAAATGTTTTGAGAGAAATCATCATCATCATTACATTCTTGGAAGAGAAGGATTAAGATGTGTCAAGAATTCACAGTCTGATTTGTTCAGCTTCCAGGTGAATTCGTTCCTTTAATTCTTTGTGTAAAGTGTAAAGAAATCTTGTATAGGTGTCTCAAGTGGTAAGGAATTCTTGTAGTGGGTTTCTACAAGAAGTTCTTTCTTGGGGGCAAGAAAGTGTCTATCTTGAATGTAGGAGTGTATGCATGTGTGGTATGCTTGTAAAACTTCTTCATTAAGATAGTGGAATAAATCTTGATCAGGTTATGATTGAGGACTGAATGTAGGTCACATGTGAAGTGGCTGAACCAGGATAAAATACATTGCATTCTTCTCTCATCCATATCTCTTATCTTGAGTCATCTTCAATTGAATGATAAGGCTGGTCTTGATTAATATGCTTGTATGATTAAAAATGGTGTAATCTGAAACATGAGCATTGCATATTAATTGTTTCTTAAACAAGATTCAATAAAGATTAACCAAGAATTCATATAGGAGTCATTCCCATTTGATAAAGATTCAATTAACTTCATTGAGAATTCATATTAGAAAAGTTTTGAGTGAAATAAAGATCCTTATACTCTGAAATATTTTTAAGTGTCATTGAATCCAATTCACCCCCTTCTTGGATTAAATCATTCTTTTCTATTAGGGGGTGGACGAGCGCGGGCCGTAAAATAAGAAACCACCAATTTACTCGAAGTTGGTTTCATCAGGGAAGTTTGATATACCACTTGGTTAGCCAACGTGGTCATTGGTGAAAAAAGCCAACAATAAATGGCGAATGTGTACTGACTACACTAATTTAAACAAAGCATGTCTGAAAGATGCATACTCCATGCCACATATTGATGCGTTGGTAGATGGGGCGGCCAGCCACCATATTCTTAGTTTTCTAGATGCTTACTCAAGCTACAACTAGATTCCCATGTATCCCACCAATGAAGGGAAAACTGCATTCATTATAGACTCAACAAATTTTTGCTACAAGGTTATGTCATTCGGTCTTAAAAACGTCGTGGAAACATACCAACGACTAATGGATAAAATTTTCCAAAAGAAAATTGGTACATGCCTAGAGGTATACGTGGACGACATGGTAGTGAAATCTAACTCCCACATCGATCACACCAACGATCTCAAAAAGGTGTTCAGTCAGATCAGAATGCACTACATGTTCTTGAACCCAACCAAGTGCACCTTCGAAATTGTCAGAGGAAAGTTCCTAGGATTCATGCTTTCAAAGTGAGGAATACAAGCCAACCCAATGTCATGCCTTCATCGACATGAGAAGCCCCCATAACATAAAAGAGGCCCAACGGCTAGTAGGGAGGATAACATCATTGGCTAGGTTCCTAGACAAATCTCAACCGATCATGACTGTTGAAAAAGGCCCACAAATTCTAGTGGATTGAGGAATGTGAGTCAGTGTTTCAACAATTCAAAACAATGCTTGCCACTCCACCCTTCTTGGTCAAACCTGACCCTTAGTTAGACCTCATCATCTACATAGCAGTTTCAGAAAACCATCAGTGCCGCTTTGGTGCAAGAAGAGAGAGGGAACAAATACTGGTATACTTTGTCAGCCAAGCCTTTCAAGAAGCCGAAACTCGGTACCAACTTCTTGAAAAGATAGTACTAGCTTTGGTACAAACAGGTCGATGCCTATGCCATTATTTCCAAAGTCACAAGATCGTAGTTAGAATCAATTGCCCAATAGCAAAAGCCTGAATTGGCAGGCAAGATGGTAGCATGGTCGGTAGCGCTATCCTAGTTCGACATCCGCTTCGAAGCAAGAGGACCCATCAAGGCTCAAAGCATGGCTGATTTCCTTAATGAATTCCACCTGGATAGTCCACCAAAGACATCTGTCTGGACCTTACACGTAGACGGATCATCAAATCAACAAGGCAGCGGGGCAAGGATCATATTGGAAGGACCGGGTAATGTGATGGTTGAACATTCGTTGCGATTCAGCTTCAAAGCTTCCAATAACGAAGCCAAGTACGAGGCACTACTGGTACGTAGCATTACAATTAGCAAAAGAGTTAGGGGTAGTCAGAATTATATGATGGATGACTCCTAGATCGTAATTGAACAAATCATCGGAACATTTCATCCCAAGGAGCCCACATTACTCTAGTATTCTCATGAGTTCCAAAAGATTAAGACTAACTTCGAGGAAGTCCACGTGCACCATACACCTAGGGAGCTCAATGCAAGGGCCGACCGGCTGGCCAAGCTAGCAAGCAACAAAAAGACGAATCAGTTACACTATGTAATCCAACAAGAAATACATAATCCAAGCATCATGGAGCCAAAATGCTTACAAATACAACAAGGGGACGACAATTGGATGACTGATATCATCACCTATCTTTCACTAGGGGACATACCCACACACCCACTCCAAGCAAGAAAAGTAAGGAAAGAGTTGCACGATACACCATAGTATCGAGCGAGTTGTACAAAAGAGGTGTTTCCGTTTCGCTCCTAAAATGCCTAGCACCAAATCAAGCATAATAAATCCTCAGAGAAATCCACGAAGGGATATGTGGAACTCACTTAGGAGGACGAACCAAGGCAGCTAAGGTCCTTCGAGCCAGATACTATTGGCCCACCATCACAATAGATTGTGTCCAGTTCACCCAACAATGTCTATCGTGCCCACAACATGGACCATTAATACGCCAACCTGCAGATGAGTTACACTTCATCACCATGCCATGGTCCTTTTCTGTTTCAGGTATGGACATCTTGGGACCATTCCCAATTGCCAAGGGACAAGTCAAATTCATACTTGTGGTAGTGGATCACTTCACCAAATAGACCAAAGCTGAACCATTAGGCACTATCTCAGCCGCCAACACCCAGAAGTTTGTCTAGAAGAACATCATCACTCATTTTGGAATTCCATATGCCTTAATCACCGATAATGGGCTATAATTTACAGATTGTCGATTCAATAAGTTCTTTGAAGATCTACACATCAAACACAAGTTGACATCTGTAGAACATCCTCAAACTAATGGCTAAGTGGAGGCAGCAAACAAGGTTATCTGAAAGAAATAAAGAAACGTCTAGGGCAAGCCAAGGGAGCATGGTTGGATCAGCTACCTAAAATATTGTGGGCTTATCGCTACACTCTGCAGAGTTCCATCTAAGAAACCCCTTTTCGACTTACATATGGAACCGACATGATGATCGCGATCAAGATAGGAGAACGTTCACTAAAAAGGCAGTAGTACAACAAAAAAGACAACATCGAAGCACTCAATATGGTGTTGGATCTGATCGATGAAGCCAAAGATCAGGTGCTCATCAACATGGAATCTTGTAGAACAAGACTTGCGAGAAGATTTAGGACTAAAGTCAAACCTCGCGAATTTCAACCAGGAGATTTGGTTTAGAGAGTCACAGTGGAAGCTAGAAAGAACAGGGCTCAAGGAAAACTTGCACCCAACTAGGACGGACCCTTCAGAGTACTACATTATTTGAATAATGGCGCTTATAAACTTGAAGAACTCTCAGGACGAGTCATCTCGCGCACTTGGAATGCATCTCATTTAAAACACTATTATAGTTGAGCCCCTTTAATATGTAAATTTTTTTTGGTGTACTCTTTTCATACCCCAAGTTTTATCCTCTTATTAAAAGAAAATATGAAAGAGATTTTACTGGGAAGGCTTTTAACGAGGCACCATATTAATGAAATCCAATACAAGTTACCATCTTATTAATTGTTCCATCCAAAACCTATTCCCTCCCGAATACCTATACTCGACCAAGGAAAAAAGCTTATTCCCTCCCGAATACCCATACTC